CAAAAAACAAAAACAAACAAAAACAAAAAAAACCTAAAGATCAAATACTGTCCATACTTACTAATGATGCGTGGATTAATGTGCCTGGTGATGTTATACGTCACACCTTCATAGACAAAAGGCAGTTCACAGGTGTAGTAACCAGAGCTGTCCAATGACACATTGTTTATATGGCAAGAAACGGATCCTTTCAAAATTGAAAACATCTTGTTGCTTTGGTCCAAAAGAACTGCATCCTTCGAGAAATGTTTTTAAACATTACCCTATATACTTTGACGTGTGTAAACAGAATCATCATTAGCAACTCATTGCTTCTCTTCACCCTTATACCTTATAAGTATATCAAGCACCGTGAACCAGGCACTAGGTACTTTGGACAATAGCAAAATATTTCCTCCTATCATATGCTAAATGTACTTTCTGTTGTATAATCATGGAGTGATTTCAGCAGAATGTGGATATTTTTAGAGATGTAAAACAAAACCCCACAGCTAATATGAGGTTATTGTCCTCTAAGAATATTATCAATCATCCTGACTTTTGTCTTGCCACTGGACTTCAATGACTCTGGAAGGAATAAAACTGATGACTTTCTGCAGCGCTGCCTCACTTTAATCCAATTGTCGGGCAAGTCAAGACATCATCCTGTGATGTCATTAGTCCTCTTCAAAAACTGAAGAATAACAATAATATTCCATTTACACTAAACATATTTTGTATATTGTCTCCCCCCCATTAGACTATAGTAGCACTTATATAGCAGCATTTTAAAGTTTGCAAAGCACTTTACATATTCTGTCTCAATTATTCCTTACAATAACTCTAGGAGATAGGTTCAATTGTTATTTCCATTTGACAGATGGGGAAACTAAGGCTGAGACAGGTTAAATGACTTGCCCAGGGTCATAGGGCTAGCAGGTTTCTGAGGCAGGATTAGAACTCAGGGCTTCCTGACTCCAAGTCTAACACTATATGTACTGTACCACCTAGCTGCTCATTAGAATGTAAACTCCTTGAGGGCAGGTACCCTGCTTTTCCTTTTCTTTCTATCTCCAGCATTCAGTAGAGTACCTGGCATATAGTAAGCACTTGAAAAATGCTTGCTGACTGAAAGATAATACGAATAGTCCCTTTATCTTTAAGATATACCAATATTTAAAAAATACAAATACAACTGAGGCAGGATTAGAATGCAGGTATTTCTGACTCCAAATCTAGTACTCTGTGTACTTGGAGTTCATAGAATGCAAACTCCTTAGTGGCACATACTCTGCTTTTCCTTTTCTTTGTATTCCCAGAACTTAGTACATTTGTGGCTTTTATAATTGCATTTAAATTATTGCTATTATGTGATGGAATACTACTCTGCTGGAAGAAATGATGAGCTGGTTGAATTTAGAAAAACATGGGAAGACTTGGATGAAATAATGAAGAGTGAAATGAGCAAAACCAAGAGAGTGTTATATACTGTAACAGCAATAATGTTCAAAGAATAACTGTGAACAACTAAGGTATTCTGAGTGTTATTAATAGTCAAATCAACTACAAAGGATTTATGAGGAAAGATGCTATCCACCTCCTGAGAAAGAACTAATAAATAGAAGTAATGTACAGTATGGTTTTACAAGAGAGAGAAAAAAAGGGAGACAGAGAGAATAGTTTTACTATGCATATGTATATATGTGTGTATGTGTGTGTAGATATATGTATATGTGTGTATACATACATATCTGTGTTTAACGATGGGCTTCTCTTGTGCAGGATGGCAAGGGAGGGAGGGAGACAGTTTGGAACTTAAAATGTAACAAAAATAAATGAATGTAATTTAATTTAAAAATAAATAAATTATTGCTATTATGGTTGCTGTTATTTCAAATGCTAAGATGGACCCTTTGGAGAAGATCTTGTAAAGACTACTGCACTGTAGGTGTATAGAACCAGAGTAGTGAATGGAAAGAAAATCACAAATATAAAAATATTCCAGTCCAGGTAGAGCAAGAAAATGGTAGCTAGAAACAAAGTTGCTTCTTCTTATGTGTAAAAGAATTGCCCCGATTCTCTGCATAACAGATGGACCATGACAGAAAGTCTATAACCATCCTTCTTGTTCAAACTCAATCAACAACTGAGAAGTCCATATGACAATTATTGACATGTACTTAGCACTTTACAGATATTATTATTTCACTTGATCTTCATACCAGCCTTGTGAACTAAGTGGTACAGCTACAAATCAAGATCACACAGCTAGTAAGTAGTACCACAAGCAGAGTGAGCCTTGAACCAAGACCTTCTAACTCCAAGGTCATTGTTATTTTACACACTCAACAGTTGCCTGTGATCAACTAGCTTAACAATGATGACCAAGTAGTTCTTCCTAAAACAGGAACTATTTTGAGGTTCCCTTTCCAATAAATATTTATTAACTGTTCTGGATATTGTTTGTGTTTTGTTTTGTTTTTAAATTGAGGCTGACAGAAATCTTGTTGTTGTTCAATTTTTTTCAGTCGTGTCCAACTCTTCATGACCCCATTTGGATCTTTCTTGTCAAAGATACTGGAGTGGTTTGCCGTTTCCTTCTCTAGCTCATTTTACAGATGAAGAAACTTTGGCAAACAGAGGTAAGTGACTTGCCCTGCTTCACACACCAAATAAGTGTCCCTGGCCAGATTTGAACTCAGGAAGAGTAGTCTTCCTGACTCCAAGCCTTGCATACACTATCCACTATGCCACCTAGCTGCCTAATAGAAATCTTAACATGGACAAATATGGTTTAGACAATTCACAGATTTTCCAATGAGGAATGCTAAAATGAGGATATATCACAGTCATATTACACAGGCATTTGACAAATATCTGCCAGTCAAAAGGCTCATGGAGATAGTGTTTGAAAATATGTTTTACATATGTATAAGTAGAAGGTCAAGATGGTAAAAGCAAAAAATCTCCCAGGACTTCAGGGATAGTTAATGAGACCCTAGATAGAAGAACTGAAATAAGTCTTACAGTTGTTTCATTCTGCTGGGTCACTAGAGCATCATCTCTTTCTTGATGCTGATCTAATCCAGCATATTCAATTTGCATTATTTCTGGACTTGCATCATAAATCTCCTTTGTAAACAGAAATTTCTTAAATTTTTTGGTTTTAAAGTGATTGCTTAAATATCATCCATTTTCATTCCTCTCTAGGCCTAACTCCTGACTCTCCAGACTTTCTCTAGAATGCCATGAAACCTCTTTACCTGGAAGGTCCTGTATCCCTGGACTTTCCATATTGAAAGTCTCCTCCCACCCCAGCCCATAGGGTCTTTCTTTCTGATTAACTGGTTCCTCCCGAACCTCCATTTTAAGGAGGATACCCAAGTTAATTATGTCTTCACTTCTCTCCAGACTTTCTCTACAATGGCCCTGCATTGGATACCTTCATTCCATTCCCACTTTTAAGCTTCATTTTACATGACCTCTTCCATCATTAAAATGTAAGCTCCCTGAGGGCAAAGGCTGTCTCTTTCTGTGTTTGTGTCTGTATTGCCAACACTTGGCATAGTTAACTGACCAAGTATTTATTCATTTCTAAGGCTAATTGTTTGGTATCATATTTTTTTAAACTTTTTTAGTGTAAATTTAATAATCACCACAAATATTTCAGTAACCAAAGAATAAAAAAAAAAAAACCTTTCTCACGTTGTGGATGTATATGCTTTAAAAAAATACCATGTAAACACATTTTTCCTAATTTTTTTTTTTGCGAGATAATCGGGGTTAACTGACTTGCCCAGGATCACACAGCTAGTAAGTATCAAGTATCTGAAGCCGCATTTGAACTCAGGTCCTCCTGACTCCAAGGCTGGAGCTCTATCCACTGCACCAC